CCCTTAATAATTAAAACATCTAGAAAAGGCAATGAGTTATTTTCTTCAAACTCAACAGTAAAGTTTATAGAATGGGCAAAGCTATTTAATTTGCCAAGGAAATGGTGTATATCTACATTCTTGGGCATAAGACATAAAATATCATCAACATATCTGAACCATTTAGCTCTATTAGGGAGGATTGTGTTAAGTAACCTTGTTTCAAAAAATTCCATGTATAGGTTACTAAGAACAGGTGAAAGAGGATTTCCCATTGCCATACCAAACTTCTGAGTGTAAAACTTATCATTAAATACAAATTTTGCATCAACAATGCAAAGTTTAATAAGTTTAATGATAGTAGGAACTGGCAATGGTAAATCATAGTTAACGAGTTCTTCAGATAAGAAACTTAATAAATCATCAACAGGAACTTTCGTAAACAAGGAAGTAACATCAAAAACTAACCATGTTAAAATCATTTAAGTCAGTCAAGGAGCTTAATTATCAACTAAGTCTATGTTGTTTTTAACATTAAAGTTAGAAATTTTGCCAACAATAGGGCTCAAAATATCAACAAGCCATTTGGATAATTTATATTAAACTGACCCTATGGAGCTAATAATTGGTCTGACTGGATTCCCTGGTTTGTGTGTTTTTATTAGTCCATACATGTAAGGCAAAGATGGATTAGTGGAAGTAAATTGTTTGACTAATTCATCTTTGCCTTTCAGTAGAAGTTTTATTGTTTTATTGAAATTGCTGTTAACGGTTTCTAGGGGATTTTTTCTAAGTTTAGAATAGGTTTCAGTATCATCTAAGAGATTATTCATTTTTTCTTGGTAATCATTTTCTTTCATAATTACTATTGCATTTATTTTATATGCTATAGTAAGCGCTTGGAATTTCTCTATTCTTTCACAGTGGTTGTTTTGCATATTTATATATATATTTATATATATATATATATATATATATATATATATATTATATATATATATATATATATATATATATATATAATTATATATATATATATATATATATATATATATTTATTATGTGTTAGTATATCATAAATATGGTACATTAATTATATAAAAATATAAAGTATAGAGAAATACAGATGAAGTGTGTGTTTGTGGGTGTGCTGTGTGTGAGTTGTTAGTATTGGCTGTATAAGGACACAGTTTTTTAAGAATAGGTAGGAGGCAAAATACAAGGTATGGAAAGGAGGTTTAGTTTTTGGTTTCGAAGAAGTGCAGACCATTGCTTACATTGAAGCATGAATAAGCGAGCAGTATTTAATATGGCAGATATTGCAAGTGTATGGTATAGGAGGTGGTTAATGTTTAGTTTTTTACGAAGATAGTGAGCTCGTTTGGGTATGTAGGTGAGGAGAAGGAGAGGAGAATATTTCCTATAAAAGTAGGCCTTAGACAGGGATGCGTAATGCCACTATGGTTGTTCATTGTTTATAGATGGGGTTGTGAGAAAAGTAAATGCTTAGGTGTTGGGGAGAGGTGTGGGATCCGAAGTTATATTACCTATCACAAAGTGAGTTGTCACAGTAGCTTTTTGCTGATGACACTGTGCTTTTTGGGAGATTCTGAACAGAAGCTGCAGAAGTTGGTGGATGAATTTGAGAAGGTGTGTAAAAGAAGGAAATTAATAAAAGTAAACATAGGAGAGAGTAAGGTGATGAGGATAACGGAAAGTTTAGGTAATTAAAGACTGGATATCAGACCGGAGGGAGTGTAGAGGAAGTGAATGTGTTCAGATATTTGGGAGTGGACGTGTCAGCAGATGGGTCTATGTAAGACGAGGTGAAACAGCACTGATGAGGGGAAGAATGTGAGTGGTGCACTGAGGCATCTGTGGAGACAAAGAACGTTATCTATGGAGATAAAGAGGGGAATATATGAGAATATAGCGGTACCAACGCTCGTATTATATAAGTATTATCCAGGGGGCTAAAGATGGGTTATTAAGGTGCTTCGGACATTTAGAGAAGATGGAACAAAATAGAATGCCTTGGAGTATAAATCTGTAGCGCAGAGAAAACGAGATAGGAGTCGCCCTAGGAAAAGTTGACGGGAGGGGGTGCAGGTTTTGTATGTGAGTGTGTGAGAATCTGTTAGACAGGAGTGGAGGCAAGTCGTTTTCATGACTTGACATATGGAGGAATTCAGAGATACTAGCTAACCGGATTTGAGTCCTGAAAGTGAGAAGTACAGTACCTGCACTCTGAACGAGGGCTAGGAATATTTGCTGTTTTGAACTGTTGTATCAAAACCTCTGGCAAGACAGTGATGGAGTGGCTGATGTTACCCTGCCTCGTGAGAGACGGCCATTGTGATCACTCACCTTCTCACATATAAGAAAGAAGGAAGCGACGTGGTTGAGAGTTGCTCCATCATCGTCAAGTATATCCTCCACTCCTGCATACACCTTAAGGATGAAGTCTGCATTGGTAGGAGGTACCACGGAGAAGGAACCAATGTTACGATTGTCCTTCATGGTACAGAAGACCCACTGGTTCATGCATGACTCCTCAGTCTGTGGGAGGAAGACTAAGATGACGGAAAGTACCAGTCCCTTCCCCACCAACCCTCTTCTCCACCACCCCTCTTCCTCACCATCCCTCTTCCCCACCACCCATCTTCCCCACCACCCTCTTCTCTACCACCCCTCATCTCAACACCCTCTTCCCCACCACCCCTTCCCCACTACCCCTCTTCTCTCTCCACCAACCCTCTTCTCCACCACCCCTCTTCTCCACCACCCCTATTCCCCACCACCCCTCTTCTCCACCACCCCTCTTCCCCACTACCTCTCTTCTCCACCACCCCTCTTCCCCACTACCCCTCTTCCCACCACCCCTCTTCTCCATCACTCCTCTTCCCCACCACCTTTCTTCTTCACCACCCCTCTTCCCCACCACCCCTCTTCTCCACCAACCCTCTTCCCAACTACCTCTCTTCACCACCACTCCTCTTCCCCACCTCCCTACTTCCTCACCACCCCTCTCCCCCACCATCCTTCTTCTCCACCACTCCTCTTCTCCACCACTCCTCTTCCCCACCACCCCTCTTCTCCACCACTCCTCTTCCCCACCACCCCTCTTCCCCACCACCCCTCTTCTCCACCACCCCTCTTCTCCACCACTCCTCTTCCCCTCCACCCCTCTTCCCCACTACCCCTCTTCCCCACCACCCCTCTTCCCCACCACCCTATTTCCCCACCTCCCTGCTTCCCCACCTCCCTACTTCCCCACCTTCCTACTTCCCCACCTACCCACTTCCCCACCTTCCTACTTCCCCACCTCCCTACTTCCCCACCACCCATCTTCCATACCACCCTTCTTCCCCCACCATTCTTACCACCTTACATGCCACACCTCTCTACTCCCCCACTACATCCCCAACTTCGCCTCTTTCCACCTCCCCTCTTCCAAACATTCTATGGAGAGGGAGCATGGACACAAGGGTCATCCCACACTCACTTATAACAACAGACAGCCACACTCTACAAAAGAAATAAATAATAATAATAATAATAATAATAATAATAATAATAATAATAATAATAATAATAATAATAATATATTATTATTATTATTATTTTTATTATTATTATTATTATTATTATTATTATTATTATTATTTCTACAAGTATATTTACAATGGCATAATACTATATAGAAAGCCACTAGTTATACAGAGCATTTCGTTCAGATTAGGTCAATTTTGTCCCGGGATGCGACCCACACCAGTCGACTAACACCCAGGTACCTATTTTATACTGATGGGTGAACATAGAGAACCGATGTTAGGAAATACGCCCAATGTTTCAACCCTCGCCAGGAATCGAAATCGGGAACTTACACTGTGAAGTGAAAGCTTTTCCCGCCAGGCCACGGACGACCGTGTCAGTAAAGTAACAGCAGAGAATTACAGATAGATAGCACTAACGTCCCATATTATAAAAATCTTTGAAAGTGTTCTACGAAGCAAGATCGCCACGCATCTAGATACCCATCAGTTACGCAACCCAGGGTTAAGATAAGATAAGATAAGATTTCGTTCGGATTTTTAACCCCGGAGGGTTAGCCACCCAGGATAACCCAAGAAAGTCAGTACGTCATCGAGGACTGTCTAACTTATTTCCATTGGGGTCCTTAATCTTGTCCCCCAGGATGCGACCCACACCAGTCGACTAACACCCAGGTACCTATTTGCTGCTAGGTGAACAGGACAACAGGTGTAAGGAAACGTGTCGAAATGTTTCCACCCGCCGGGAATCGAACCCGGGCCCTCCGTGTGTGAAGCGGGAGCTTTAGCCACCAGACCACTGGGCCACCTGCCGCTCCTGCCTGTCCCAACTACTGGACCACTATGACAAGGTCTTGGCTGCTCTAGACGACAAACAGATGTGTCATACAAAGACTTTGCGAAAACCTTCAACAAGTGAGACCATGATGTAATAACGTACAAAATGCGTGATAAAGGAATAACAGGAAAAGTTGGCAGATGGATCAATAATTTCCTAACAAATAGAACACAGAGTAATAGTAAACAGAGTCAAGTCCGAGGCTGTTCCAGTGAAAAGTTCTGTTCCACAAGGCACAGTACTCTCTCCCATCATCTTCCTCATCCTCGTATCTGACACAGGTAGAGATGTAAGTGGATGATACCCGAGTTTGCACAACAGTGTCCTCCATCAAAGACACTGCAAGACTCCAGGTGGACATCAACCAAATCTTTTAATGGGTCACAGAAAACCATATGAAGTTCAATGAAGAGAAATTTCAATTACTCCGATATGGAAAACTTGAGGATATCAGAACTATATCGGAGTAAAAAACAAATGCTAGCCACACAATAGAGGGAAAATCTAATGTGAAGAACCTGGGATCGATAATGTCAGAGGATCTAACCTCCTAAGATCACAACAATGTCTCTGCCACATCTGCTAGAAAAATGACTGGATGGATAATGAGAACCTTCAAAACTAGGAATGCCAAGCCCATGACGACTCTCTTTAAATCGCTTGTTCCCTCTAGGCTGGAATATTGCTGTACACTTACAGCGCCTTTCAAGGCAGGTGAACTTGCTGACCTGGAGGCTGTATAGAGAATCTTCACGGCACACAAAAGTACGATAAAACGCCTCAGTTACAGGGAATGGTTGAAGTTCCTTGACTTGTATTCCTTAGAACACAAGCAAAACAGATACATGACAATATACAAAATCCTTGAGACATTAGTACCAAATTTGCACATGAAAATCTCTCCCTCTGAAAGCAAAAGACTCGGCAACCGGTGCCACGAGTACGCTAAGAGACAACACAGTAAGTGTCAGGGGCCCAGGACTATTCAGCTACCTCCCAGCATACATAAGGGGGATTACCAATAGACCCCTGTCTGTCTTCAAGAAGGCGCTTGACAGGCACCTAAAGTCACTATCTGACCAGCCGGACTGGTTTTCACGTTGGTTTACGTGCAACCAACAGTAACAACCTGGTTGATGAGACCCTGATTCATCACGAGGTCTGGTCACAGACCGAGCCGCGGGGGCGTTGACCCCCGAAACCCTCTAGGTATACACCATCTCTTCTCCACAACCACCCTTCCCATCACTCCTCTTACCCACCACCCTACATCTCCACCTCTCTACTTTCCCACCATCCTATATTCCCACCTCCTTGTTTCCCCACCACTCCCCTCACCTCCCCACCATTCACCCCCACTTCCCCTCACCTTCCCCCCATTCCCCCCACTTCCCCCTCACCTCCCCACCCCCTTACCTCCACTTCCCCTCACCTCCCCACTACCCCCCCCATTCCTCCACTTCCCCGCCACTCTCCCACTCCCCACCACTACCCATCCCCTTACCACTCCCCCTCACCTCCCCACCACTCCTCCCCACCTCCCCACCATTCACCCTTACCTCCCCACCATTCCCCCACTTCCATACCACTCCTTCACCTCCCCACTTCCCCCCCTCTCCCCCTCACCTCCCCACTTCCCCACCTTTACCACCTTACCTCTTTGGCCATGAAGAATTTGAACCTATATCTGACGCGTATGGTAGAGTAGAGAGTGACCTCTGTCTGGTTGTTGAAGACCACGGGACTGTGAGTCGGTTTACACAGAGAAAGTCCACACGAGAAGAACTCCGGCTGGAGGCGAGGCATGGAGTTGAAATTCTCCAGACTTATTGGCTCCTCCATCAGCTGCCACCTGGAGGAGGAGGAACAGGTGAAAGTGAACCTCGGGAGAGTCAAGTTTCACTTACGGTATTGGTGTGGTTACGAGGAAGCTCTAAGACTGTAGGGTTCATACAGTGCCTGGGAAAGGGGAATTAATCAAATTACTGCTTAGTTATAACATCAAGAGAAATCATTAGCATCAAGGAATTTTCCTTGATGATGTGCCTTGAAGCCGTGTGTTTTAAGAAATGCACAGTGTACATGTGTCTTGAAAGTGTACAGTGAACGTGTTCTGACTGTGAACTATATACATGAACGTTGAAGGTGAACCTTGAAGATGTGCCTTGTACATGTACTTGGAAGGTGTACATGTACGTCGAAGGTATTCCTTGTACATGGACAATAAAGGTTTACTTGGAAAGCTTACCTCCAAAGTGCACCTTGTACATGACAATACTGACCAAATTGAAGTGAAGGTTAGCGTACACGACCTTACGAGGAACTTTGTAAAGGGTACCTGACCCTCTCTCTCCTTCCTAGATCCAATACTGAGTCTTACCCAGACCTTGTGTGATTGTTAGTACAAGACCATGTGCAGTTGTTAGTATCGGACCATGTGTGGTTGTTAGTACAAGACCATGTGTGTGATTGTTAGTACCAGACCATGTGTGATTGTTAGTACCGGACCATGTGTGGTTGTTAGTACAAGACCATGTGTGTGATTGTTAGTACCAGACCATGTGTGATTGTTAGTACCAGACCATGTGTGATTGTTAGTACCGGACCATGTGTAGTTGTTAGTACCGGACCATGTGTGGTTGTTAATACCAGACCATGTGTGTGATTGTTAGTACCAGACCATGTGTGATTGTTAGTACAAGACCATGTGTAGTTGTTAGTACCGGACCATGTGTGGTTGTTAATACCAGACCATGTGTGTGATTGTTAGTACCAGACCATGTGTGATTGTTAGTACAAGCCCAAGTGTGGTTGTTTTTTTCCGACCATTTTTTGGTTGTTATAAAAGGGCCATGGGGGGGTTTTTAAAGAAACGGACCAATGTGGTTGTTAACCGGCCCCGTTTTTTGTGTGCCCTGTTAAGAAACCAAAACCCATGTGGGGTTTTAGTACAAGACCATGTGTGATTGTTGAAACCAAGGGGAACCAAAAATGTGGGGTTGCTATTTCCAAAACCTTTTGTGGTTGTTAGTCCCAGACCATGTGGGGTTTTTTAGTAAAAGCCCAATTTGTGGTTTTTTAGTAAAAGCCATGTGGGGTTTGTTGTCCCGGACCTTTGGGGTTTGGGTTTTGGTTTTTAGAAACCAACCATGGGGGGTTTGTTAGTCCCAAGACCATGTGTGGTTGTTAGTAAAAGCCCAGTGTGGTTGTTAGTACCAGAATGTGGGGTTTTTTAGAAACCAAAACCATGGGGGTTTTTTGTCCCAAGCCATGTTGGTTGTTGGGACCAGCCCAGTGGGGTTGTTAGTAAAAGACCGGGTGTTGTTAGTCCCAGAAAATTGTGGTTGTTAGTACCAAAATGTGGGTTGTTAGAACCAACCAGTGTGGTTGTTAGTACCAGATTATGTGTGGTTTTTAGTACCAGCCCATGTGGGGTTTTTAGTACCAGACTATGTGTGGTTTTGGGCCCCAAAACCACGGGGGGTTGTTATTCCCAGAACGTGGGGTTGAGTCCCAGACCATTGGGGTTGTTAGCCCAGCCCAGGGGGTTGGGTTAGTCCCAAACCCTGGGGGTTTGTTGGGACCAGCCCAGGTGGGGGTTTTTTTAGAAACCAGAAGTGTGATTGTTGTACGGAACAGGGTTGGTTTTTAGACCAGCCCAGGGAGTTGTTTCGGTTTGGGGAAACCAAAACCAGTGGATTGTTGGGACCAGACCACGGGTGATTGTAGTCCCAACCACCGTTTTGTTTAGTACCAGACCACGTGTGATTTATCCCAACCAAACGTGTGTTTTTAGTCCCAAGCCCCAATTTGATTTTATTTCCAAAACCACGTTTTGGATTTTTAGACCAAACCACGTGTGATTTTTAAACCCAACCAGTGTGATTTAGTCCCCCCAGACCACGGGGGGATTTTTTAGTACCGGGACCATGGATTTTTAAGTACCAACCACTTTGTGATATTTAGTCCCAAACCCGTGGGGATTTTTAGTCCCAACCCACGTGTGATATTTATTCCAGACCCCTTTAAAATTTTTTTAGTCCCAACCCCGGGTGTGATATTTAGTACCAGACCCGTGTGTATTTAGTACCAACACGTGTAAAGTTTTATTTACCGCCACGTGTGATATTTAGTCCAAACCCAAAGTGTAAATTTTGTCCCAAACCCACTTGTGATATTTAAAAACCAGACCACGGTGATTTTTAGCCCAGACCCGTGTGATTTTTTGTACCAGACCACGGGGATATTTGTCCAAACCCACGTGTGATTTTTAGTACCAGACCAGTGTATATTTAGTACCAGACCACGTTTGAATTTAAATACCAGACCACGGTGATATTTAGTACCGAAAACTGGTTTTTTTTAGTCCCAAACCCACGTGTGATTTTATACCAGCCACTTGTGATTTTTTGTACCATCCCACGTGTGATATTTGGGTAAAAAGGGGGGGGGGGGAAAGGGGGGGGTACCTGACCACGTGTGTATTTAGTACCAGCCCACGTGTGATTTTTAATTACCAGCCACGTGTGAAATTTATTCCCCAGACCACGGTGATTTTAGAAACCAGACCACGTGTGATTTTAGAAACCAGACCAGGGGTGATTTTTAGAAACCAACCCGTGTGTTTTATGAACCAGCCACGTGGTATTTAAAAACCAGCCCAGTGTGAAATTTAGCCCAAACCCAAATTTTTATTTTTAAGTACCCCCCACGTGTGATTTTTTAGTCCCGGCCCAAAGTGTGATTTTATTTACCAAAAGTGTGATTTAGTCCAGCCCACGTGTGTATTTAGAAACCAGAACCACGTGTGAATTAGAACCAGACCACGGTAAATTTTTAATACCAAAACCACGTGGGGATTTTTAAATACCAAAACCCGTTGTGATATTTGTACCAACCACGTGTGATATTTAGAAACCAAACCCCATTGTGATATTTGGGTACCAGCCCAACGTTTAAATTTAGTACCAGACCAGTGTGAAAATTTATCCCAACCACGTGGGGATTTTTTAGTACCAGCCCACGTGTGCATTTAGTCCCAAACCCACTGTGATATTTGGGGTACCTACCAGGGGTGTTGGGTGTGATATTTATTACCAGACCACGTGTGATTTTTTGTACCAGACCAGTGTGATTTTTTAATACCAAAACCCCCGGTGAAAATTTATTTCCCAAAGACCAGTGTGATTTTTTGTCCCAAAGACCACGTGTGATATTTAGTACCATACCACTGGGGTATTTAGTCCCAAAAACCACGTGTGTTTATTTAGAAACCAGCCCTTTTTTTTTGTATTTAGAAACCCAACCCAAACGTGTTTTAATTTTTCCCCAGACCTGTGTGATTTTTAGTACCCCCGTGTGATATTTAGTACCAGCCCCGGGGAAAATTTTTTTGAAACCAACCACGGGGTATTTAGTACCAGACCACGTGTGATATTTTAGTACCAAACCATTTGTGATATTTATACCAGCCCACGTGGGGATTTTTAGTACCAGACCACGTTTTGATTTTAGTACCAGCCCCACGGGGGCCCCCCCTGATTTTTAAATTACCAGACCACGTGTGTATTTAGAAACCAAACCCACTGTGATTTTTATCCCAACCCCGTGTGATTTTAGTCCCAAGACCACTTTGTGATATTTAAACCAGACCACGTGTGATATTTAGTCCCAAAACCACGGTGATTTTTTAGTACCAGACCACGTTTGTTTATTTAGAAACCAGACCACGTGTGATTTTTTTAAAACCAGACCCTTTGGGATATTTAGTACCAAAACCACGGGATTTTTAAATACCAAACCACGTGTGATATTTAGAAAAAGACCACGGGGATTTTTTATTCCCAGCCCAAAGTTGATTTTTAGTCCCAGCCCACGTTTGATATTTAGTACCAGCCCACGTGTGATATTTAGTACCAGCCCACGTTTTGTTATTTGCCCAGACCACGTGTGATATTTAGTCCCGCCCCAGGGTGTGATATTTAGTACCAGACCACGTGTGAAAATTTAAAACCAGCCCAACGTGTGAAAATTTAGTACCAGACCACGTGTGATATTTAGTACCAACCATGGGGTGGTATTTTGGGTACCAGACCAGTGTGTATTTTTTACCAGACCCGTGGAAATTTAGTCCCAGACCCCCGTGTAAATTTTGTACCGGGACCACGTTAAATTTAGTCCCAGCCCAAAGTGTGAAAATTAGTCCCAAACCCCGTTTTTTTTTTCCAAACCCGGTTAATTTGTAAAATTATTTTGTGGCCCGGGGAAAAAATCCCAGCCCCACTTTTGTTTTTTGGGTCCCAACCCCAACTTATTTAGAAAGAACCAGGGTTATTCCCAATGGTTAATTTCCCAAAATATTTTTTCTTTAGAAAACTACACGACTACTTTTTGAGTAGTTTAACAAACCACATACTTCTTTAGAAGTATTTACCAGGGATTTATTTTCTTGATTTATTTACAAACCACGACTACTTCTTGGTAGTAGTTTTCCCAGACACTTCTTTTAGTAGTCCTCCCACGACTACTTTTGAGAAATACTACCACGACTACTTCCCCGTAGAAATTTAACTACCACCTACTTCTTGAGTAGTATTTCCCAAAGCCCTACTTCTTTTTTAGTACTACCACGACTACTCTTGCAGTAGTACTACCAGATATTTCCCTTGTAGTAGTACTCCCAAACGCTTTTTCTTGTAGTAGTACTCCCCCAACGACAACTTCTTTTAGTAGTACTCCCCACACTACTTCTTGATTGTACTACCCGACTTTTCTTGAGTAGTACTCCCACGACTCTTTTTGTAGTAGAAACTCCCACGACTACTTCTTGTAGTATATTTACCCGACTATTTC